GACAATGGTCTCGACAGAGCCACTGTTGTGAAGTTAATTAAAAGTAAAGGTATTGTGCGCAACACAGTGTCTACATACGGTCCACGTAACCGCAATGAGTAATGGCGACCTTAAACTTGCCGTTTGTCCGGTCTACTATCTGCAGTGCGGAAACGTCAAAGACCCTATAACCTTCGGTTTGCACACATTATGTGCATAGATTCGGTATAGACTTTTGAAAAACCAAAAAATACATTTTTTTTAGTCATCTGCACCAATGTAGATTCATCTAAGGCGAGATGCTTAGAAGCAAACCTGTTTAGTCAACACCCTAAGTTTAATTTTTAATAAAATCGATTTGAGTTCCATTTAAATTCTATTTTTTACACTAACGGTCTTTGCGTGGACTCGATTGGTTCAATTAACGATCAACAGTGATTGAAATAATTATTAGTTATATTTAAAAATGCTTTCGATACAAAGACCATTGTTGTGCGACATACTATATATTGTTCAATTACACTCTTGGTCTTCTAAGGTGCTGGGCTGGTTTCGTTCATGTGTGTCATCTAACCATAAAAAAAATGTAGGAATGTAATAAATCTATGATTTCTTGAGCATGCCCAAAACGGTTAGGTTGGGCTAGGTTGACATAACTAATAGTACGCTGTTAATACGTTCAAATAATAATTATGCTCTGACGCGTTGATAAAACGATAAGCTTGTTTGGAAAAACAATAGAGGCCATGTGATGAGCAGATGTGAAGCGCAGTCCTGACGGCCCAGAGTGTCCCGGAAACGCGTTAGGAGTCTCCTACCATACTTTAAGAGGACTTCTAAAGAATACCCAGGCCTTAAACCCAACAAAACTAACAGTTATATCAGATTACCAGCTTAGTAATTAGTAATTACTACATATGAACGTTTTTTTTTTTCTATAAATGTCGAATAATATTTTTGCTATTAGAACACATTTGAGAGTCTTGTGGAGTTCGAAACGAAACTCCTTTGAGTAGGTTCTTCGGAACGGATCTAGGCAAATATACCTTGCTGGTTAATTAATCTTACACTAGTCTGCTACTACTTTCCCAGGGTTTCAAATCGTTTCTGGCGACATGGGACTAGTGTTTATTTGTAAATTGTAATATTATTTTCTTCAGTTGTGTGTTTAGCGGTATGTGGTATATTGTGTCTTTATGAGAGACGCCACTCTTTAGTAGGTACCTACTACTATAGCGATTTCGACACGCCGTTTGAGCCGGTTCGACGGTTATTCAATATTATCATTATTATCGTCTACGGATTATGCACTAACAGCGACAATGGGGATAATAATTGATTACACTGACAGTGACCCACAGCGGACAGTCGGCTGTCTATCAAAAGAGAAATTTCCACGTCTTACCACTAGCCACATGTCCACCTCCAGATGCAGAATACTGCTATAACATATAATAGTATCGTTTCCAGGTGGTCGTCTCGAAACGGAAAACGCAAAACCGTACTTGGACAGTGCAAACTTTAAGGCAAACAAAAAAGAAACAATACCCGTAAGTACGCTCTGTGGGGAATTTCCGTTACAATAGCTGTTGTGTTGACTTCGAGTCTTGGCACGCGGTCATAGCATTGGAAAACACTATTATCTGATGCTGGAGATTAGATCTCTCGTAAAGATTAATCTTTAATAAGTATGATCTATGATAAATACCCGTAAATACCACGTATGACGTTTACCTTACATGATTAGTTACTTAATTTTTGTTATGATTCATCACGATGACGACAACAATAAAACATATTTAAAAAAAACTTTTAAACGTCCATAGTTAGGTACTATACCTACAACGTCCACTACCACCACCACCACACTCTAAAGCCTCTGTATGATGAACGACGATTACGCTGAAATTGTTTACAACAGTTTCAGGGTTAAATCTGAAATTAGGTATAACATTATTGTTATTTTTTTTAACGTTCAAGCACATCCGTTTACTCGTCTATTCACCTAACCTAACCGTTTTGCCTGTAGACAATGTCGACGGTTAGCGTTTCGAATGTACTTTCTTGATTTTTAGAAAATCAAGTAAGTATAATAATTGAAATGAAAAAAAAATTGATGTTGATAATTTTAAGAGTTTGTTGTGAATAGGAAAACAAAAAACAAAATGCTTCACACTAATAGTGAGAAGATAAATATTTGTCTTAGTTTTAATATAAAATATAAGAATGATTTGAATTTGATAATGTCTGTTTGTTACATCTTAATATAAACACTTAATTTTCTCTTAAACCATAAGAGATAAAAAGTTGATTCTAAGCTTATTAGATAGAGCTAGACGAAAAGATACAAAATATGATTTCAAAAAATAAAAAAATTGATTATTTAAGGTTTTTACAATTAAAAAAATTGTCAAATTCTAAAAGTCGTATGATTCGATAATTAATTGCATTAGTTAGGTGCCATTGTGGATTATCATTAGACACATTAGAGAAGGGCTTTTATTTAAAATTCAATACTTTCTATGGGTTTTCTTGAAAAACAGAACTCGGTTGGTATTTGTTTACAATGTAATTACATTAGTACAAGTGCTTAGCCCCGTACAACAATTACATCATAAATTAGCAGCGCTTTACGCTGTTAAATGTGCAAACCGAGACAAATCGCAACGCCGCTATAAAATCGAATTTGCAAAAATAGTTTTTAAAAAAACACATTTTAATAACGTATTAATTCGTTCTACTCAATTCCGATTTAAAATCCACGGTTATTTCTACAGCTGAGTTTTGAAATTATTAAACTACAATTTCAATATTATTACTACTATTATGATTATTGTTATTATAATGTATTTTACACATGACGTTACATATTATAATATCCGTTTCTATTTCCTAATACGACACTGAAAATGATTAAGCGGTCAAAATAATTGTGTAAATTCTACTGTTTGAATTACTCGAGGTCCCCAGACAAATATAATTCCATAGAGTGGCGCGATGTTCTTAAGACTATTGATCAATCGTCAAGTACTTGACACTGTTTGTTGAAAAGGTTGGTGTAATGAATGAGAGTTTTTAAATGACATTTTTTAACACAAATATTGTGTTGGTATTTGAATGAGCAGACTATGTTGAAGGGCTATTGGCTATTATTAATAAAAAGATAAAACAAAAAGACCCAAGACAAAAATATGGTCTTTTAGGGAACCAGACTGAAAGACATTGAGCTCAGATATAAATGGAGGATCATAATTAAGGCATCAAAGTCTATAAACAAATTGTAAAATTCGGAAATTTATAAAAAAAATTATACTTTTGTATAATATGTTTTTAAGAGAGAGGGACTGTTTTTTTATTATGATGGACAAGAGAATTGTTTAAATTATAGTACCGCAATATAATACAAAATAACTGTGTAAATAGTAGAAGCAGCAGACACGCAGAGATGTTTCCAAATAATTATACAACATAATATTGATATACTATTGTTACATTATTAGTGGGACAGTTTATTCTTAGTCAGGAAATAGGGACCATATTATTTCTATTATTATCTATTATACTCCGAACAAAGCTAATAAGTCACATAAGTATGTATTGTCGTACAAACCATTGAGAGTGCAATAAAGTTGTTGTGATCTTGCGGGCATGCTGGCAATAACGCTGGTAGCGTTGTCATAACAATTAAACAGACAACAACCACTGCAGTCAATCTCTAGACTTTGATACATCATATCCAGTAACGTACACGGGGAGGAGGGGCTAGGGGGGACTTAAGGCACTACCGTTGTCCGTGTTCGTTATTCGAAAGTGAGTATATTTAATGTATAGTATAATGTGAATATTTTAGTGCCATTTTTTTTTTAAGTCATAAAATATTCTTTTTACTAGCATTATTACATTATTTTAAGCTTTGATGCGTAGTTGAGCGAGTATTATTTTTACAGAGGTTGTTTTTTTTTTTTAATTTCATGTCTGGGCCCACTATATCCTCTTCTAAGCCGTTGAACTGATTTCTTCATGTAGTCTATAGACCAGAAATTTTACCGTTAAAGGTACTTTATTAGTGGACATTTTTATTTTTTTAAGCGTAGTTTTTGGACTAATACCATCCGCAGATTGGCTTCGAAGCCTATATATTATTATAATACAGTTGAAGATGCGACTCTAGCAGTCTCTGCCTGACTTAAGCCCGGGGGGCGGGTGGCTTAAGCAGCGGGCTCTTTACAAAATCCTGCGTATTTCACAGATGTTTATGTAAATAAACAAAGTCAGTATCGTCCGGGGGGTTTTGTTTCGGGATGACTACAGCCAAGTCGAAGGCTGGCGGCCGTGTACTCCGGTTTACCGCCAGAACACATGACTGATTGGTTATTGCCGCCAGCTATCGGACGGTAAATCATTCACGACCATCGATTAGTCCGTCGACGTTTTGCCTGTACTGGTGTACATTGTCGGTTTTTTTCAAGTTTTAATAATACATACATATATTATACAGGTACTTAAGTACACAGCATACATACACTAACACGTCATAAAAACGAAGGATTCGTCATTTCCCCCTGGGTTTTCGTAACGATTCATTTCCTCTTTCCTCCTCGCGCGATGATAATTCAAAATTACTATAATTTTACAACAAACAAAAAAAAACCGGCATCTGAAAAAGGATACATTGAACTCGATCGCCGTCGTCGCGTATAATAGTATATTGCCCGAAAGAGTCGTCCACGATCAGCGGGAAAGGTTTTTTAAAGATAAATCAAAATGACCAAGGCTTAAAAGAAATTGATTTGTTTTGAGGGTAACTCGGGCACCAGAAATTATGTATTTTGTCAGCCAATCCAAGTCGAATAACAATTAGCAATAGCTGTTACAATAGTTCTTATTGCGATTATGTTGTCAATTTACATAGTCATATTAGAAAAACTTGTTACGTTTAATACGGCGATAACTGCCTATGCAAATTTTTGCACAAAAAATATAAAAAAATAAACTAACCATTTCCTGTTTTTTTTTTCCAGTGGCCGATGCCAGCGGACATTACAGTAGCGGGTACTTTTGGGGAAATACATTTTGGCTGGGATCGAAGAGCCTGTGCAGTGAAATATCGCACTACGACCAAGAGCTTCCGTTCAAAATCGGTTTCAACGTAGTCCGGACTTATATAGCGCTTAAAGCACCGATCAACTACACGGTAATTTATAATATTTTATTTGCCAGTGGAGTGTGGGCATCATGAGGTTTATTTTACCAGTATTAATAAAAATCTTCATATCCCCAGGTAGGTAACGACTAACGGACAACGTTACAGGTTACATACTGTTCTATTTCATTTTTGAAAGGTTAAAACCTTCATTAAGAACCATTACACCCAATCCGATGTGTAATTGTTTCCTTAATTCCATTCGCCATGTTCACCCACGTTTTGAATTTTAAATAATTGTTAGCATTCAAAAGTTCTTGAAAAGAGGTAGATAGAGATTAAAATGCCGGAAATTTTCTAAAATAATCATATTTTTCTGAGGATCTTGCAATTGTGTTTCCTGACGGCTATAAATCCGTTTTTGAGACCGTTCTATATTTCGAATATCAATTTCGTATAGCTTTTTATCATTGAAAAATCAGACGAATGTAGTAACCAATCCTTATAGTTACTTAAACAATTTTTGTTAGTCACTGGAAGGTTATTTTAACTTGGCGATTCAGCTGAGAACACATTATAAGTTTTACAATGATGCGTTTTATTTATCTAATAAAATGTTTTTTTATCCTCCTTGATGGTGTTTTCAGGAGAGGTATCAACACTTGGGCTTGTGTTTGCCTTACGCTTGCATCAAGACCGATATCGACGAAATGGTCAGTCAAACGCTTCAACTCGATATCCCGGAACGCGAAGCTAAAGTATCCAAGGTTAAGTCGCCACATGAATATTACAACGTGTTTGAGGATAGAATTTTCTGGTTGCTCATGTGAGTAACGATGTCAATTCTACAGTAACTAACTGTTCACATGTTGACCTAAATATGTCTTCGATGCTTTTGTATATTATGTGATAACTACTACTGTTTGTTTTCTTTCAGCTTCATATCATGTTTGACCGTGGTACTCTTAGCGTTGGGCACGAGCCTAGACTATTATTTGGAGAAAAACAACCGGGACAGAATCAACGGATTCATGTTCGACAATTACAAGTACGCCGTCAGTCACACCAAACTGCAACCGCTCTCTGAACATTCCAAAATCGATATGGAAGCAGGTAAACCCGGTCGGCTTTTAGCCGCCAACGACCGATTCACCCTATCCGTGAAATAAATTTGATCTTTCTCAATTTTCAGAAGCTACAAAAAACGCAGAGGTCTCGTCGAACATTATACCCATGACATGTAAGTAAAATAAAAACTTGAACCACCGCGCCAAATTCATTAACGCGGTTCTGACTGCAAGTTCTGACAGTTGGGCTTTATTTCACATTGTACCGTTTGTCTTTTACAGGCACGTTTGTGGACATGTTGTTGGCGTTCTCCATCCGCAGAAACCTCAAACAGATATGCGACAAGACGATCGGGGAAGACACCATATCGACGGTGCACGGTCTCCGGTCATTGAGTATGGTCTGGATTGTTTTGGGCCACGTTTGCATCGTATCGTTCAAATACTCTGGTAACTATTTCACGTGCACTTGCTTTCCTATGATGAATCGATTCCAATAAATGCGGTTTTTTTCAGATAACATGGAATTCCGTACGGTGGCCGAACGACATCTGATCTTCCAACTGATCAACAAAGCCACGTTTTCGGTGGACACATTCTTTTTCATCAGGTACCTGTCGGCGACATTTATTTATTTCTAAACAAATTGTTTCTTTTGTTTTTACAATTGTTACATTATGTTTCTACAGCGGATTATTGGTATCTTTCCTCTACTTCCGGACCACGGCTAAAGTGGACGTCGATAAGTTAACCAAGACCACTGGGTTCCTATCGAACTGCATCGAATTCGTGGGGTTGCTAATATACCGCTTCTGCAGGTTTGCTTGACATCCTATAGACATTCAACCGTTGAACTATAAGGAAATCGATGGATAGAAGGATAGAGGGAGAGAGAGAGAGAGAGCTTAATCCGAGAGCTAAAATTATTATTATATTATTATTAGAAAGGGGTAGAGAAAGAGGTGTATGGAGGTGCAGTCCATTTTTTTTATACGTTTATGTACATCATTGAGCACTATTTAAATGTTTTATGAATATTCCAGACTGACTGCGCCGTATTTCTTCGCTTTGGGTGTCGTACAGCTCACGATGAAATGGTTCCATTACAATTCCGTGTTCGATCCGCCCACGGACGATCACTTGAATTGTCCCAAGTATTGGTGGAGAAATCTCTTGTATATCAACACATTATTCCCCGTTCAAGATATGGTATGTATATTCATAGTTTGGAAGCATTTAAATAAAGAGCGTGGAATGCCGAGAACTTTAAAAAGATAAAATGCCGTTTTTTGAGACAATGAGAATAAGAGTTACTCAATATGTTTTCATAAGAGCTCAGTAAAGGCCATTATCGTCTAAAAAAATTCATTACTACAAACCAATCCATGGAGAATCAAAAACCACCCCCTCAGGAGAGATTGTAATTCTCCCTTATTATTCCTCTGGTCATTCCACCTCTAAATTAAACATATTTTTCATAAAATATGTATTAATCTGTATTTTCATTGTTTAGTGTATGCTTTGGAGTTGGTATTTGGCCGACGACACGCAGTTCTATATACTTGGTGTGATTCTCCTAATATTATCTGCTCGGTAAGTCGGCACACAAGAATTTTTCCAACTCAATTCACATAAATGATCACACGTTACCCATCGAATTTCTCTATATGACATCCTATGTATTGTACGAAACGTCTATTTACCTTTTTTAAGACATAATATTATCTTCTTGACATTATCGTTAAATTTTCCTAAAGCAACATCAATAAAAATAGTAAATCGTTCAAAGAATTACACCGTTTTTATGTTTTAATAGGTATTTCAAATTTGCGGCCTCCACACTAGTGTTGTGCACGGTAGCCTCGTGGTTTACAACAGGTTACATAGCGTACACCAACAAACATATGCCCAAGTAAGTTTTGGTCTTAATTAATACTGTTGTAATAAAATTAAATCCAATAATCTCGTTGTATAATATGATTGCAGCATCGACGACCCATTAGCGTTGTTCGACAAGATCTATGATAAACCGTGGACTCGGTTGGGACCGTATTTCGTCGGCATGTCCATCGGTTGGTTGTTGTTCAAGACCGAATGTAAAATCAAGATGAACGCCGTAAGTGTATAATAAAAAAAACAGTTAAATTTTAAAAAGAAAACAAAGGTTTTTAACGGTTCATTCTGTTTTAGATGACAGTATTCTTGGGCTGGACCGTTTCCACCGCAGTGTTAGCAAGTCTGATATTCGGTTTGCATCAAATCGAACTACACCCTATAACCGCAGCAGCTTACTCGTCGTTGAGTCACACCCTGTGGGCCATGTGTCTGTCGTGGGTGGTGATCGCTTGTGCTACCGGAAACGGAGGTAAACCCATGGCATTAACAATAGCTCTATGATACTTACTGGCCTGGTTCAAATTGGTAAAAAAAAAAGAACCTAGAACAATTTGCAATTGAGTCAATCATAGACAATAGATAAAATGACCATTACATGAAATGGCAATGGTTGCTTGGTAAAAATTATTTTTTTTGTCTTGCTGAGTACCAATTTTATATCCGATTACAGGTTACATGAATAAACTGTTGTCGTGCAAAATATTAATACCGTTTAGCCGAACCACGTATTGCGCGTACCTCGTGCACCCGATAGTCATCAGATACGTTGTGATGAAACGCGACAGTCCGCTTCACTTGACGGTCGAGACAGTGGTAAGTACAACGCAAAGAGTCTAACGAGTCTAATAAACTTAGATAATTTACAATGGATTTCGATGAAAGAGATTCGGCCAAGTTATACGTACCAACTAGGTGCTATGGTATTTCTAGATACCACGAGAAATACATTGAGAAAAAGGAAATTTCAAGTAGTTTTCCTATTCTTTAAAAAATTGCAAGAGCTGGTGCCAAGAGATAATAGCAGAAAATATACTGTATGTTGTAGTGAAAACGAAAATGACTGGTGAGATTAGGAGTTCAGCGTTAAGTTCATATTTGTTTTATTTAGCAATGAACGAACTACCAAAAGACATACGCAAAGTCGTTGAACCTTGGTGTCCATTGTTTGTGGATCAGTGAATTATGTAAATTTGGTTAATTTAGATAACAGAAATGTTATTAATTTAGAACCTAACCAACCGATAATGTTTGGAGAACAAATAAGTAAGTATTTGGCAAGATAATGGAGGAATCGAAGAAGAAATTTAGAGTAAAATGTGCTGTGGTTGGATGAGATGGAAAGAGTTGTCACATAAAATTGTGTCATTGAGAATTCATGAATAAGAATGCTGGGACGGATGTGTGAAGTGACTAGGTCAGACCAAATCAGTAATGAGGAAACTTGGGAGTACCGCTAATAGCAGGAAAAACGAGAGTTGACAGACTGGTGTTTTTTGGGCACCTTGAAAGAAGGGAGGAAAATGAAATCGTTGTTGGTCTAAAATAGATACATTATTAAGAAATACATCTAACCCCGTCATTGTGTTTCACAGGCAATATTGTTCTTGGGACAAATCGTCGTATCCTACTTGTTCGCGTTCGTCCTGTCGATCGCCTTCGAAGCACCAATCGTATCGCTGTTGAAACTTGTGTCGCCAACCAAACGAAACCACTGACTGTTTTAGTGTTTTTTTATTATTTTTTTTTTTACTATGTATGTATGTATGTATGTGTGTTTTTTTTTGTTCTAATACTACTATTGTATTGATTGTTTCATCGTTTTAATGAAACGGCTATCCTATCGACAGCGAAGCTCGTATTTAAACAACGATACAACGTATTTATTATATTATTATAATATTATGTAGATATATACTTTTGGCCAACAGTTTGGATACACTTGACTCGCACGCGTTTCATTTGCTTATGAAACATCTTTGGCTTTTCAAGAACAATTGTATTTTTCTTATTAGATTATTTGTCTTAGTTAGGTTTACTCGATATTATTATGTTATTTTTGTACAACTACTACTAGTACTACCTACATGTTATACAAAAACTAAATGTTGATAAGCAAATTTTTATCCAGATTATATGTGTAATTTTGTTTGTAAGTATAGTGTATTCAATCTTTTGGCCGCATCGTGTACCTATACAAATTGATGATCTGACAGATTTCAATGTATACATATTTTGTAACAAGTGAATCAGTTAGATCATCATGATATATCCGCAATTGTACACCTACAGTGGTCGGTCATAACATAGTTAAGACCAATTTTAACAAATATGACATTTTAATCGTTTTAGATCAAATATATTTTTTCTCGACTCCATAAACTGGTTTTATATTAATATTTTTGCTAAATCGCACTATACTGGTTATGATCGCTAACCAAAGATATAACTGTGAGTTCGTGTGTGAGCATTGCATGGACACTAACCAATTACATTATATAGAACGAACCGAACTCGCACAATTTTAGTAAACCAACTTATATATAATAACATAATATGTATATTACCTAGGAATTGTAAAATTGAGTTATTTATGTTAGTTCTGTTACGAAAACTTGCGATTATTATTAAAATCGTGTTGATCCAATAAACGATAGTTTTTTTTTTCAATTTTAAAAATCAAACGTTGCTTAAAAGCTAGAGCCTAATTTATGTTCAAACAATGGTCTTTTTCACCCACATTGTATGCCAATAATTCGATATACCTACTATACGATCGAACATAAAAATGTTTTTTCATAGTCTCAATACAGAGTAGGTGTTACTATAAATTTCCCTCCACTATAGAGTCGGGTGCGTTAATATAATAAGAACATATTATGCAAGTCCATAAATTAAAAATGTTACACCCATAAACAACTACACGTGAAAAAGGGTCTTATAGTGAAAATCTTAGACATTTATTTTTTTGAGAGAAAATGTCTAACAATTTATACCAAATACCTATCTGTATTTAATATTAGAGAGGTAAATAACATAGAACTTCTTAAGTTTATTAACTGTTTTTACCTAAGCTGTTGAATCAAACACCAATGTTTGTAATTTAATGTATGTTTTATATACATCATACATAATCGAGAACTTTACAAATAAATCAATCGACATCCATTCTTGTTTCGATGAAGTAAACGTAGCATACCCACACGTTAAACTGGATACATGTGTTCTTCTGACGATTAAACACATATTCACAGAATGTCAAAAGTACGAAATTCACCGTAATCAATTCCACATCTCCGAACAAATTAGTCAAGCCTTAGGGCCCAACCTTCAAGATACGAGTATTACGAACTTAATTTATTTTCTTATTAATCTAAGCTATATAATTTAATAAAAATAATATTATACCTGTTAATGTACTGTATATTAATGGTCTAAGTGGCCGATGTATCTAAGATCAATAACAATAATAATAAAAAGATTACGACAAAATGTCGTGTATGTTGGGCTGCCAATACCGTCTTGTTTTAAGGGGCAGCACATACACCGTTGATAAAATTATTATACAAAATCAAACATATTATTAAATTACACTGTTATTTAGAAGCAGGTAGGGTTAAGAGCCCTCGTAAAATTTTTTCTAGCGATACTACTTAAAAAAACCACCGGAAAAAAATCCACTCATCAAAAATTATGAAAATGTGTAATAATTTTTTTTTTACAGCTGTATTGAAACTTAACAAGCATGATACAAAGCTTATTGGCAAAAAAACAATAAAAAATATCATTGATATGTACATAAAATGTATTAATTAAAATTAAAATAGTTATTGAGAAAACATTAAGAGTATACTTAACCGACTCCGCGACGGTCAAGTCGATTTTACACAATGTTTCAGTTAAAAGTCAAATGAAAAAACAAATAATATAAATTATACATGTTTTATTGAAAACAAAATAACAACAATATTACTTTACGTAGGTGAACAATTTTTAATTGTGTATTTAGCAATGTATTATATAATATATGTTTTATAAAACATCAACAGATTTGATTAGAATATTGTAATCTTCATTTGAATACATAATTTCACATTTCATTCAACGCTTAAATAACACCCAGATTCCGGTATTCTAAAAAACGAATAAACACAAATGAAATAAGCATAAAATAGAAGAAAAAAAATACAAATTACAAAAAGCATAAAACAAATAAATATTGGGTCACAATAGAATAAAAATTGTATGTAGAAAAAGTTGTAATTATTATTCAAATTCAAACAAAAACTGTTCTATTTTAACTTAAACCGATTTAAAACTTGACTTTATTCATTACCATTCAAATCGATTACTTTGTCCCCGTTTGTATCCAACAAATTGAATACTTCGTCGATAAGTTCTTGTAAACATTCTCCATACTCGCTGTTCAAGTAAACTGCTAACTCATATTTTGTAATCTTATCGTCCTCGTTCAAATCAATTTTACTGAAAGTTTCTGAATAGTCTTCAAATTGTCCGAAATCAAAATCGTCTGCCTTCCTTGTGAATGCGGAAAAGTCAATAATACCTTAATATACATTAATGTGTGTTTATCAATTTTTTTTTCTATTAAATAGAGTATATATTTTATTTTTCCGAATCATACCGTTGCCGTCAAGGTCGACTTTGTCAATCATTTTTTGACAATTTTCTAATGTCCATAGGACACCTTCAGAGTTCAAAAATTTTTGTAATTCTTCCGCAGTGATATTACCGTCTCCGTCCAAATCGTACATTTTAAACATCTCCAAAATAGTGTTTTCCTTCTGCTATTTATTGAAATTAAAATAAATTAAATTAATTTTGAGGAGACTATAATATACTAATTAACAGCCGGTTGTAGTCTGCGGGCATTGGTTTTTTAATTTAATATTCGAAGGAGCGAAACGAAATATAATGACCGATACCAATGGTCCAACAGAGACATGGGTAAAATGTACTAATGGACTTGAAAAAAATGTATCCAAACAAAAATGTCTCGCAATGGTTGTAACAAAAAAAAAGTTTATACAATATTGGCTATTACCTTTTCTAAATCAAAATCTATAAGCTCGAGTACGAACTGATGTTGGCTTATCGATTCGCTTTCTAAGTAAGTACAAAAAAAATAATATTAAGATAGGTATTTATGAGTGCGCATTTGTATAGAAATATAATATAACAAGCTTTACTAACCACTAAAAACGTTTTCGTTCAACTTTTGTTTAAATCCTTCCTTATCCAAATCTCGTGTTGTAGAATCTATGACGGTTTCGACTTGTTCCTTTGTAAGTTTTTGGTCGTTGGAAAATCGATTTTGAAGCGCTTCTTCGAATAAATCAATAATATCACCAGTGCTCGAATTAGAATCCTGTATCGGATCAAAAATAATATGATATACCAGCCAAACACAAAACAAAAAATATTAATTGAATTCGCATTATCATAGTGTTGTTACATCCTCAAAAGTGTCATCAATGTCGTCATATGTTTGGAACAGCTCAGTCGATTCATGTACATCCTCTACTTTTCGGTCGTCCATCGCATAAACCTATGGCGAAACGTCCATAAACATAGTGAGTAAGCTGAATAATATTGTTTGTAAAATTCAATTAGTATTTAGTAATTTATTGTGAAAACGACCTGTTGTTCCGACATGGCATGAAACACCGAACAAGATAAAAGTAGAATTTTGACGTTCATTTTAATTTTCTCGATAAATTCCTTGTTGAGCACTTGCAACAAAATGATTATGATCACGCAGAAAAGTATATATTTTTTTTTATTGCGTTTACAACAAAAAGCCTAACCGAAGTTACAGAAACAAGACAAGTGCGCAATATTTAACGCAATTTCCATAAGTCAACAGTCGTGTATCGAGGTATATCCTATTGTATTAACACGTATTCAAAGGTTATTTACAGTAGCAGTGTCATCACACATAAATACAGACAGTCCACCTGTGCGGTGTTTACGATGGATATGACATCAAATAAAATTAAATCAGGTTGAACCCACAAAAAGTATGACCAAACAAGCCCTAGTCGTACGTGTAGGGGAGGGATCACTTAAATAAAAAATATACACCCAAACCAATATCTATACACCTATATTAGAATGGTGTAAATATAATGTTTTGTCGATTTAGATAACGGCTTCCTCAAGGAAAGCTCAACTATGGTCTTAGTAAGCATCTTTGAAAATATTTTTTTCTCATTTTATAGGTATCAGGAGGTACATTCGTTGTGATTTTTAACTTTTTTCATACCAAAGCATACATTTCTTTGACATTGGTCACCGTGATCATTTAAGAACTATAATTTAGAACTATTTAAAACAGATTCTCAGCCATGGAACGAAGCTAAATTATAAATATAAATATTTGTTTAAATAGATGATTAATTTATTAATGTAATATTTGAATGACTTTTTTTTTATAATTACTTAAACATAATATTTATATTCTATACCATTAATATATAATAAAATGTATAAGATCCAAAAATTCATTTTTTTAATATAGATATAAAAAAAATTATTTTTGTTTTAATATTTAAACTTTTATATAACACGTTATTATCATTATTTCCTCTTACTATTATTTAATTGAGTGTATAATATATGTGTATAGTAAGTATATACGTATCAAATAATTATTTTAATACTTATACACATAGTATTTTCAAATATAAAAATAATGTTTTTTTAACAAGCAAGCTATTTTATAAAAATGTTTATACTGTTTATATTTCTATCTATTTTATTTTTTTTAATTAATATTTAATTGGCACACATTTTAAATTGAAGTTTTTATTAAAAAAAATTAAGTTAGCTATTCATTTAATTTATTTTTTTATAATTGTAAGAACTTTTTAGATTTCTTTTAGTTGACTCCATCTAAATAACGTAACACCGTGGCAAGTTAGGTTAGGTACAATATTAAAAACTACGGTAAGTATTATTAAATCTGAATTTTATTTATTATTAAAGTTTACAATTGCAATTATACCAAAGATGTTAGAAAACCACAACTTAAGCGCATCGCAAAAAAACATAATTTAAATTTAGAATTGTAACAATGTCAAAACAAACGAATTATAATATATAATTTAATACAGTAATTATAACTTGTATAGTATGTTAAATTAATTTAGCTTAAATACCACGCGACACTATAAACTCTGAAAAAATAATATTTATTTTTAAAACATAACTGCACAGGGTAATTGCTAAATAATACCACAACGTTCATTAAACATTAATGAAGTTTGTAATACTCTTTTGTAACTACCCTGCAAAACAAGTATATTTTTTTTTATAAAAACAATTTTTTTATTAGTGTTTGTTACCATTTTCGGTTATTTTGCCGTCATGGTTGCCATCCAAAATGTCAAAAACTTTTCCTACTTGTGTTTCACAAACTTTGTTAAACTTTTTGTCCATTCCATCCTGCAACTCATCTTTCGAAAGAGTATTGTCCTGGTTCAAATCCATTTCATGGAATTCATTAGTGCAGTTTAAGCAAATATTTGCATTGTGGATCATCTTTATGAACTCGTTCAAATCAATGACTTTGTTACCTGCATTGAAATTAAAATTTTTTTTATCGTTTCATATTTAAGTATATATTTTAATAAACTTGGTTGATTACCATCGATATCCGCTGATTCGAGCATTTTTACAGCATTTTTTGTATCCCAAATACCGCCAAGTGACCTCAAATAGGTGTGTACTTCGTCTACAGTAACTTTACCATCACCATTCGAGTCGACAGACTTAAACATGATCTAAAAAATGGTACAAACAAATACAGTGTGTCTTATAAAAATATCATGCTAAATACTAAAGTTTAAATCATATCACTCCACGTTTTTTTTTTTGTGAGATTTCTTAATCCACCCATTAGGTACAGATCCCTCCCAAGTTAGCGATTACTAAGGGGGAAAAAAAGATCTATCCATTAGGTGCGAATGCAAGACCTGATTTAGACGTTTTGAACCATCAGGCAAAATGTCTTTGAGGGGCCCCTTTCCATAAAAAAATATCACCCCAAACATTTTTTTCCATTTAATTTTCTATTTTATCACTATAACTGGTAACGTCTTGAATGAGTTATTATAATACCGAAGTTTGTTGAAAAGGTAGCAGCTACAAAACAAATGTCAATTTTATGGTTTTTTATCATTTTTGTCTGGAATATACGGCCCATTGGGCGAACGTTAGACTATGAACAGATCTTTACTACCTACTAAAATCTCTTGATATCTCTCAAGTTGTGGTAGAGTTTTGAACAAGCAAAGAAACTTAGATGAAAGAATCCGGAGGAACTCGCCGTGCCATTTGACCTAATCACAGCGTTAACGTAGTTAAAGATAAAATACCTTATGTTTTTCCAATTCGTTGAACTCGTCCATCATCTTTCTAAACTCTCCGGGACTAATAATAGGTTCTTCTAGTTAATCAAAAACATATTTATTTCTATTAAAACATTTACCAGAATTGATGGCCATGGCCCGTACACGTTATGATGAAATATTACCAATTCCATCGGCGGAAACTTTTGCTAACAAATATGTACAAAAGGCTTCTAGGTCCGAATCTACTTGCGTTTCATCCAAAATTTGTAGAAGCTCTTCCAAGGTCATTTTTCCGTTGTTCATATCGGTTACTTTTATCTTTCCAACCGCATTACTTAACGCCGTGATAGTGTTGTCTGACAGCACGGTGGAGCTCTACAGTGGAATACCCAAAAACATACAAGTCAGTTCAATACGATAGTATGGGTACATAAAGATTGTATTGTTATACTCACATAATAGTGACATTCGCTGCACTGACACATGCTCGGATTTTCTGCATGAATGGATTCTTTGTCACAGCCCTACGTTTACATAAGAAAAAAAAATGTCGTATATGGAGAGCGTTAAACTTAAAACACGTAGACATTTGTATTTGATGTATTTTTGGACTCGGACAATGCCAAGACCCCTAAGCTTACGTTTGGCAAACCAGCAATTTCCCGAATACCTTAACGCGTGATCATGTCTACCTTTTCGAGAAACACTGGTGCCAAAAGATCTATTGGTGTTGTTTGCATAGGGAACACGAGCTTGGGGTATACATATTGGTCTTGAATGTTCAATTTTTAGTCTCCACGTAAGAGCGGGGTAGTTATCAATTTGCGAAAGTCTTTTTCTAAACCGGTTTGACTCCTTTTGGTTAAATATTATTTAAAAAATATTCAATTATCTAGTCTATTTCTAGTGTTGTTTTAGTAGTTGAAATAAATAAGACCGAAAGAAAAATTAATTTATAATTTATAATTAATACATTAACGGAAAATATTAAAACGGATCAAGCAATATCATCATTACAAATTATTGGAGAATGACATGTTTTTAGTAAAATAAGCAATCAGTATGATTTCAATAACAGTTCTCATCACATGAACGCTTTAGAAACACATCGCGCCTATGTCATACTTAATGATTATATATATTTAGCGTAATAAAAACATTATAAATTTACAACATAACTACTAGGTCATTAAATAGAGTATAGAATTACATTTCTGCCACTGAAATGTGAACAATCATAAGAAAAAAATGTCTTATACGTATATGTATGTATATTTATAATATGTAGTAGTTAAAAATTAAAAACATTTTCGGAAGGAAACAAACTTAAAATACGTAGACATTTGTAGTTGATGAATTTTTGGACTTAGAAAATGCCAAGACCCCTAAGCTTACGTTTGGTGTAAAATACTGGTATGGGGGTGTCGGCGGACAATCCAGCAATTTCTTGAATAGATTATTGTGTTGTTATACTCACATAATTGTGACATCCTCTTCTCTGACACATACTCTGCTGTTCCTCTTGAATAAATTCATCGTACCAATTCTAATTTTACAAAAGAAAAAAATATCTAATACGTATATGTATGTAGGTATAATAATAATATGTAATATTATATGTATTATAAAATGTAGTAGTTAAAAATTAAAAACATTTCTCCAAGGAGAACGTTCAATAAACTTAAAAACTTAAACACGTAGACATCTGTACTTGATGAATTTTTTTACATTTTCGATAGACATAATATGTTTATAATATTATTATAATAATTGTTAACGCGTTCAACCTATGATTGATCTGCGTTGATACTAGTGGATTTTTAATTAAAAATAAATTTAAAAATGAGCGTTCTACTTTAAAATTAGTTAAAGGTATTGTCAAATATAATATCAATGCAATATATTATACACTTCGGATAACATCAATAACATTTCGTGCTTAAAGGAGTTTAGCTATAACACCACAGTTCTGATAAAACAGCTTTGATGTAGATACCTAATAACAATAATGAGATATTTCTGTTTTTAAGCTCTCATCGAGGTCGTTATTGTAAAAATAAATACAATTATTTTATAAATCAACGTCTGGTTCAGCGTCAGTTTAAAGTTTACCAACAATTTTATCCTCTAATTTTTTTTCTCCCACTTAAATTAGTTATTTTTATGTTGTCTTATTTCCATTTACCAGTCTTCATAATTATCCATCGTCTCTGCACTTAGATTTTCAGCCATACTTTCATACTTCTTACGTTTTTTACTTTAATGAAATATGACCTAACCTAACCAGACAGTAAATCCAACCCAGGATTTTTGAAATTTTTCACTACCTTTATTATAAATGTTCTAAAATAGTTTTCCACAAGACACGCATAATAGCAAGCGCAAATTTAAGAAACTTTTTCATTAATGATTTTGCTTCTCTCTTACATCAGCTTTTTCTTCAATATCATTGTTTATGTTTTCCAAACAACTAAGAATATGATCATAATTCATAAACAATGCTCTACAGATTCAAAATAACAACACCACATAATTTGACTCTTAATTTGTACCTATATAATTCAAAAAAATTACAGTGCCAACATTTTTCTGGTGCCCCTTTTTCTTAGGGGTATAGTCCTCTTAGCCCACCCCCCTTCATCCGGCTCTTTGCATAGTTTGAAAACCCAGAACAATACCTATTCTTTCAATTTCAAAAAAATATATAATTAAGCAATATCGTGAAATACCATTTTTTTCATAAACTCTAAAACACAGGCATTAAAATCTACTACTTCCATCCCATCTTCACCTACAATCAACAAAAACATTTTTATCCAATTAAAACATTTACCGGCTAATAATATAATTTTATTTTTATTTTTTTTACCAAGACCGCGTTCATCCAAAATGTTGAGAAATTCCGCTACTTCATTGTGACCTTTGCTGTCCACTTTTATTGTACCGAAAAAAGATAATATCTGTTCCTTTGGAATTTTTTGTCCAACTTTTATTGCCCGCCACGATTTCAATAGCGATTCGAACTGGTCTTCTCTTAGCTTAGCATCCTAAAGTAAAACTAAGTTAAATAGTAATTTTTATACTAATATGTAATAAGTTTTTTTTTTATTGTCACACAAACCAACTGATCTTGATCTTGTTTGACTTGCTCTGCAATCGCAGTAGAATCCTATAGTGAAGTATTAAAAATGATATATTAATTTTTTTTTCTCTTTTAAAATCACCGAATAAGTATAATTCTGCGGTAGGATGGCAACTGTGGTCAGGGTTGTGCATCATTCGAATACACAACTTTATCTAAATAATCATCTAGATAACACATTATTCGAATAATTTTTTATTTGAATAAATTTAAAAATAATTATCGTTCGAATAATTCGAATGAAAGATTATTCGAAAACTTTAAATTCAATTATTCAAACAAAAAGTAAGGTATTTGAATAGTTAGTAAGTGCTTTTTTTTAAGTAATTATATTTGAAAATATTATTTCTATAATCTTCAAATAGAAAATTTATAAAACCAGTAAATATAAGAAGACAATTTTTTATTCAAATCATTTTTCATTCAAATAAATTGAAGAAAAAAAATGATTCCAATAATTTTTAATTCGAATAAATTTGTACTCGAATAAGAATTTGACTGTCGCAAATTATATATTCTTTAGCATTGGTTTTCAAAGACTAAAATACAATCAACCCAGGCTTAATAATATCGAACCGGCTGTACAATATTCGGCCATTTTTTGTAATACCTATTTTTAAAACATATCTGTGTATAATTACCTCGGAATGGACAATAGGTATGTTATCATCTTCTCGATCAGTCTCGATTGACGTGGCATAGTATGCCAAACAGGATAAGAGTACAAAATACTTCATACTCATACTTAGCTTTTCAGTAATAAATTCGGTATCGCTCGTGTTGGAGAAATCTAGGCTCAATTGTTCACCAGTCAAGTATTGTAAATAAACAGAATGTATTGAACGAAATTTGGATTATCTTGGTTTGCTTTTCGTTGAAAACACCATATTTTATTTATTCGCTAAGGTTTATTTCTTGAAGCCTGTTCAATGTAAATATTTGACATTGTATTCGGTTTCGCCATTTGTGTTCCAATTCTACCATAAATACACCATATACAATTTAAAAAAATCAATAAAACAATAATGATACCACTGAAAATAGTATGCAAGTTAAGTTATTCCCCGAAGCGTACACAAATTAACCGTAAAATAAATTGGTACATTGGGAATTTATTGACCCCGTTTTTTTTTTTTAAATGTTGCCCATATGAAAACTCTTAAAAAACGGCCGCTTTCAATTACTTTAAGTTCGTTTTCCTATCCATTATTTTCAAAGGACACTTAGATTTGTCGTTTTTCCCTCATAAATTAAATTTTATTGCTTACTACTAATTGTGAAATCCTAATCCTTAAACTATTATGATATTTTGTAGTGAATTTTGAACTTAAATAACTAAAAAAAAAAATAGAAATCGTAGCAGTATTACTGTTGCGGCCTTTTCTTAATTAAATCTTCAACTTTTCATATTGAAGAAATTCAAAAACTATATTGAAACCTTAAATTATTCCCAAAATGGAAATTATAGTTGTTTAAATAATTGAAGGGCTTCAATCCAAAACGTACTTTTTCCATTTTTATGAAAATTGAGTTATACATGGATTATTATGGTAAATTGTATGGGGAGTCGAATGGTTAAGTCATTTTTAGGCAAACGCTATTTTTCCTAAAGAAAAAGATGATTGAAAAATAACAACTAATTCAAAACGTCCTTTTTCCAGTAGACCATTTACTGCAAAACGTTCTATTTACATTTTACTTCAAAACGTGCCATTTCCAATGTTATCAGTATATTTTACAAATAAATTTATTGCATAATGTACTATTTCCTTCAATATTTGTCAAAACGTTCCATTCCATTATTCTTCAAAACGCTCTTTTTCCCATACAATAGTAATGGGTGATTAAATATTTTTTTCCAAAATAGACTCATTTTATTTTGAACAATTTATACTTAAAAAATTATATTTAATCAATTGTTTAATAATATTTAATTTAGAAATATCTTATGCCACACGTTCTATTAAAATTATACATAATGTATTAATCTCTATCCTATCACAAAGTCACATTGTAATACAATTTCCCTCCAAAATCTTATCAAACTACAATTATGATAACCAGTCATCATAACATTTTATGTTTTTTTTTTAATACATTAGGTACTGTCAAGTTTTTAATATTTTTGAATATCTAGTGTAGTTTATTTTTATTTTTGAAATTATAATATATTTTTAATAATTATTATGAAAAGAACTAGAACTAACAAAATGTTTGTCAACAATATGATAAGACGTAAAATGTATCTATGTACAAAAATTAAACAAAACTAATATTACAAAATCAATGTAATACTTTGAAATTTGTATGCGTTACCCATAAATTTGTCTTAGAACAGTTATTTACATCAACTACTATAGGTATTACTACTTTATTAATAGCTCTACTCATGTCTCTTTACAGAAGAATGTCACCAAAAACATTGGATTTTTTAATATATATATATATATATATCAAAATTGTATGTCAACGATAAATTAGACTTATGTTTTTTCATGTATCATCGAAAACATCATAAACTCTTTCACCTAGAAGGTATGGACATTTTTTTTTATTTCGAATTTTCAAATATAATCTGATAATTAGAAGCCTATAGTTTTTTAACAAATCTTTAGTCAACTTTTATAAAGAAAACCAACAAATCACAATTACAATTTGTAGTTTATAAACACCAGAGATTTCATAAATGGTTTTATATTTTATTGGTGTTTAATTATTCAGGTGTGTATTGATTTTTAAAATATTATATTCACGTGGAGTGCGTCATGGGCTTTAAACAGAACAACTTGTTATAAAATGTTTTATAGATTACTTTAAAAAAAACAAAACAAATATAAAACCATATACATACACCTTACCTATACATATTTTACCATCTACAAATTTGCATTAAAGCGTTTTTTTAAAGAGTGGTTTTATCACAACTTGATATTTAATTTTTAACATTTTTAACCATTTGAAACCATCATTAATAAATAGTTGGGAGTTTCAGCTGGCTTTTATTATTATTATCATTTTTTTTATATAATTAACGTAGAAACTATTATGGTTGAACACTGGAAATTATGCTGTATCTTACGGCACAGCCCAAGAAAAATAGAGAGCTTTTCTTTGCCTTTTGAGTCATAGTAATATTAGATTTAAACCACCTTCTTAATATTTTTTTTTTCGAGATTGTTAATCGTGGTATTTTTTTACAACCACTGTCAAAATAATGTATGTCTCAAAGGGTAAAATAAAAAATATTGTTTCTATCTAATTACAATCACATGTTTTTTTTAATTACTGTGAAGTATGTTAGCAAACATATTCGTGTGGTTATATGGTATTTATTGTTTTATAAAAGTTTACTATAACATCTGCTACCGTTTGAAGATAGTATTAAAATTTGTAATACTCACATCGTTTATTAACACATGTGTTTTCAGAGGGCCGCATTTCGTAAACATTAGGTCCATGGGTTACAATTTCAGAAAAAAAATTTGTGGTTGGTAAAATATGTAAAACATATATAAAACCTATACATTCATATATGTATAATGTAAAGGTTTTATATTTTTTTGTTTTTAAAGTAATTTTAAAATAAAATTATATCAAGTTGTTCTGTTTAATAGTCGTGACGCACTCTACAAACTATAATATTTAAAAAAATCAATACACACCTGAATAAACACCAACAAATATAACATTTTATAAAAACTATGTTTGTAAATTACAAGTTTTAATCGTGTTTTGTTGGTTTTCTTTATAAAAATTTGTCTAAAGATTTTTAAAATAAAATCTATCTGACCTTTAGTCCAATTATCAGATTATATCTAAAAATCCGAAATAAAAAAAATTTTCCACTCCTCCTTTTAACATAAGCGATGAATGGTTACCCGTACCGAAAGGGTTTTGTAAACAGGGTGTTCAAAATTTCATATCACACCTTCTTTATTGATGACGTACTAAAATTTTGAAAAAATGGCCTATGTGAAACACATTTTTAATTTTTATCAAACAATAATGATATAAACTTTTTGTTTTTTTTTCAGTTAGAAGCTAGATTTAGTGGAGGGGGTAATTTTTTATAATGTACCTAATATTATACAAATATTACAAACGTCGTGTATCACCAGACCGCTTTACCAAATTCGACCAATTTTCCGATTCGTGGGTAAGGGGAAGAGGTATGTTTTTCAATACTGATTTTTAATTAAATAAAATATGCTTATTTTAAATTTGAATCATTTTCTTAGACGGCTATTGTAATCTGGTTTTCACGTCCCTAAAACTTAATAAACTTCATGTTCTCTGGCATGACAATTTATTGTCCACTTGAACCTAATTAGTTTTTTAAAAACTATCATGTCTGCTGCAGAAAATCCATTTTTTTAGCTTAAATGCCGAGCTGGGAAGGTCATGTTTTTCTTAGATCAGAAATGGCACAAGATAAACATTTTATGAGGCCAAAAATAAAAAATGTTCACATAAAAACATTTTTTGGTTAGAACATACAACACATATTTTTTTTTTTAATTAGTAAAACGACTTCCAAATTTGAATAGGGTATTCATTCCTTAGGTATAGCACTACAGTTATATAATGTAAATTAAGTAAATATCATTATCGCTTTTCCCTAGAAGGCATGGAACCTTTTTCCTCTTGTTTTGTAAACCCTGGTTATACAATTCGAAATAGATAATAATACATAGATATATATTGTCGTATAAGCCCTCAGCCCCCTTTTAAAAAATTTAGACATTACTGAAGACAAACGATTAAATTTTTTATTTTATAGAAATAAATTCTAATAACAATTACATTTATCAGTTAACACACAAAAGGTACAGACTTCCGTTTCATAGTGGCAAACAATTATTGATTAACACAATGTTGATTTGTTATTAGAACACATACATGTATAATTGTTAAGAAAAAAATAAAACGTATTTCGTTGTACAACAAACACCATCTATATTATGAGACACGCTAATGGTCGCACTAAAAACAAAGCGTTAATGAGCACTCATTTGATGTAATGTAAAATTGAATACATTAATAACTGTACACTGTATAATACAAGTATGAAATATATTATAGCGATGACCAATCTTTAACTAAATTTAAAATGTATATTTGTTTTTATTACTTTGGTATTATAAATAAATGATTTAAATAATACACCGCTATCAGTCTTAAGTTTAAACATATTAAATTACAAAAATATATTATTGTATAGTACCCTGTTGCCTTATTGCATTTTGACAAATAGCAAAAAGAAATATTATTACTAACTGATTTCAAATAAAATTCATTACAATATTTTCTAAACAACTAAATTTTTTGATTCAAAGTATTTATGATCAGAATTACTCCGAAAAGTTTGTTTCGGACCAATAATTTGAAAGCTTTGCGTATAATAATTAATACCTATTTAATTTGTAATAATTTCTAGGTAAAGACTGGCGGATATTTTATCAGACCATAACTTGGATTGAAAATATCCCTAATTGATTTTAAAATTAAGTCATTTATTTTTTTTTTTTTTACTGCATAGCCATATCTTCAACTAACACTTCATCGTTTGACTGTGTTTTTGTGTGTCCAATAGAGTTGTTTTTTAGGCTTGACAAAATATTGTCGTGTAAAAGGTCCTTTGCCGAATCAGACTCGATGAGAGTTTTGACAATTGCCTTTTTTGCGTTGACAACGTTAACAGGATCCGCCGGACAATGTTTTACAACCAATTCCACTAGACCTGGAATGAAAAGATTAGGTTTAGGAGTATTTTTAAAAGACTACATTTACATTGTGTTTGACTTTAATTTTTTTTATCAATTTATATTCACTTGGACATTTGTTGATTTCTTCTAGACCCCACGGCTGCTCGGCCAGAACTTGTAACATTTCGAACCCGGCTAGCTGCGGTTCCAGAAAAGGTAGTTTACAAGCCGCGTAAACAATAGTCTTGATAGGATCGTTTTCAATACGCTTATACCACTTTTGGGTACGAGTTAGCATGTCAGCTTTTGTCGATAGCTCACCAGGCTAGTAAAATACAATTTTTAATAATTGACAATGTTTGGAGTATTGAATTTTACCTCTATTTGAATAATTCTGGCGATAGCTTGAATCGCGGCTGCTTTTAGTTCAGTTTTGGTGCTGACAGCGATGTTACTTAACTGTACGATCAAGGTACTCCAAACATCAGAATTATCTTCACCTGGTTGAAAAATAAAAACAAAAGCGTTACAAGAAATTATTTAAGTGTGTAACGTCATCATTAAGACAACATTGTACCCTCTATTTATTAAGGAGTGAGGTAAAATCTTAATTTAAACTTAAACTGTAATTTATAACTATTAGTTTAATAATTAGAACTATTTATTGGTAGTTAATTTATTTATCACAGCATGTTTGTTTGTAACGAAGTTACGCAGAATGCGTTTTACTAAGTCCATGGTTGTTTTAGAGCAAAAACACCTATTATAATATCGAAACATAACATTTCAGAGACAATGTCATATTCGATTATGAAAAAAATCTATTTTAATAATGTAAAAAAATGTTAAATATTAGGTCTATCAAAAAAAAGATATGACATTGTTTCCAATATCTTGTCACCTTTAGTTTTTGTTGTAGGCTAAAATTATCATGGAACAAGTAAAACACATTCTGCGTAGGTATGTTTTAATGTTGGAAATTTGGCTATATGACATCCTCTTAACAAACGACACTACAATAAAACCATTTTAGAGCGGTCAAAAAGTTAAACTTGAATTTATGTACACAAAAAATTTCACTTAAGTTAAAAATTAATACACAAGGTAGCTAGTTTTTTTTAATTTTAAATCTCAAACCGTTACCTGGTTGATCATACATCAGACCCTGTAGAGACGTGTCTAGAGCAACTTTACAATCCCAAGATGATGCTAACGAAGTAATACCGTTTATGACGACACCAACTAGAATCGGATCATCTCCTTCCTTTAATATGTCGCAGACTACATCAAATACTTTTGGATAGCTCGTTAGAATGAGCTGCGGTCTGATCTTGGTAATTTTAATGAAAAATTCCAGCACAACTAATCATATATATAATATATATATTATTGGCCATTCTCTAATATGTATATAAATATATATATTATATACATATTGACTATTATTTACTGCACAAACCAACCGGGATTTAATATAACAGCAGATGGATCGTCTAACTCTTTTGGACATGAGCTCAACAGACGATATAAACCACTTATAATTCCGATGGAATTCAAATAATCAAAGCCGTGTTCTGTAGTGGTTAAAGGAATGAGCATTTGGATTGTGACCATTTGCATCATAATATCTGGATTAGTAATGTCAGATACTAAATTGGCAAACAATCCTTTTGAAGTTATCAATGCAAGCGCTTCAATTGATTTTGCCCAATGAAACAATATCTGACGAAAACATAATGTTTGTAAAGAATAATAAATTAAAAAACAATAACCAAACACTTATAAATAAGTAATGTTATTTACATCGTAAGCCCTTGTTCGTATTTTTGCGTCCATCGCTACAATGCTCTGAAATCTTGACAGAATCGGAAGCGAAGAAAGAGTCTCCACACTTTGAAATTGTTTGAGACATTTAACAGCATTGTACGAAACAGACATATCGTTACTTTTCAAACTATCGATTATAGTACATGCCAAATCCACTTGAATTTCCACAGAATTATCAATAGCTAACATTTTTTCCAACTAAAAAAAAAAAAAAATCTTAAAAATTTATTAAATACACGCCATACTACAATTTTATAAGCCGTGTGTACCTCAGATAATATCGTAGACTTCACGGTGTCATTTGGATGCTGCAACGATCGTTCAATGCTCACAGAATACTTGTTAAAGGCATAATTCGGAGGCAACACCGATAAAAGTTTTTGAAGCAACAAACAACTCATATCAATTTGGTTCCTATGAAATAGAAAAAATCCCAGTTGAATCAATTGAGTCGAGACAAGCAAATAAGCAATAATAATAATAGCGACATGACTTACTGATCGTTGGTATTGAGGCAATCAAATATCAGATTTAGATCCATTAAAACGGCCGATTTGTACAAATCTGTACGATTTAACTTGTTCAAGTAGATATTACAATCGGTTAAAACATCAGTTACGTTGGTGTTGTCAATTGAAAGTTTATGCATTGCCAAAGCGATCAATCCCGTGTCGACTAAAATAAAAAGGAAAAATTAATATTATCACAAAAACAACATTTTCTCATAGCTACCTTTATACATAATCTATAGGAATTAACTATCATTAAAAATTGTATTTTTTATAACATATAGCATCAAAAACAAATAACAATAAGGTTCGAGGTTGTGACAAATTAATCACTTTAAGCCAAGTTTGACAACTACGACAACTTGAACAACTATAACGACATATAAATTTACCGTTATTTATACTATTTTGCATCTATTTAATAAACTTGTTTTATTCTGTTCTCCGGCTTATCTCATACGAATTCACTTACTCCTCCAACTTCCTTTTATACGATCTCATTCCAACCATCGTATTCGTCATATACTTTATAAAATTGCCATAGTTAATAAAATAATGGACAGGCCAAAGTATTTTTTACAAGAATAAACAAAATATTTTAAGGTTACCAGGGGCACAACGTCATGCAGCTATACAGAAGGACACATAGGTATTGCTAAGGAAAAAGAACTGTCTCTCTTCCCCGTTTCGGACCGCGACCCCGTGTATTATTAGTATAGGATTGTCCTGTCCATTATTTTATTGTCTATGAATACTACATAATATTATAATTTGATGTATCCAATACTAGTCGGTAAAACTACTAACAAACAACTGAGTGGGCAATTTATATGATTTACTATTAAGGATACCATTGTTTAAACAAAACATTTTTCACTATCAAATAATATTACCGTCTTGTTCTTCAGCCATCGTGTTCGTTTTTATACTCTTGGATTGAACGAAAACTATTGAAATACTTTCCAACAATGTAATATTTATATAATCTTACTGTTTACATAAATACAGAATAACGCTTCGGCGGAATCGGCATCGGTACAATAATATTCAGAAGTGCATAATCATTTTAAAAAAACAACACAGTACTTACTGATAATAATATAACGATAATAAACAATTATATAAGCAAACTGTATCAATTGACATGCACCGTAGTACTGTAATGATATGTTTTCTACACAGATAGCAGCACGTTAAGCGGATTTATAATATTATTGGAATTTAAAAGGAACGGAGAGCGCTGTTTATTAAGGAGCAAAGGATAGGCAAAATTTGACAAAAATTAATCTAGAAGCCATTTTTAATATGCCGACTAATTTGAATGTAAAAAAATATTAAGTTAGTTATAGTTCTAAATATTATGTTATTATCTAGTTATAAAACTTTTTAAATTATTTTTCTCCAAGTTAAGGCGAAAGTTTGATAAAAAATGGCTTTCGTAGAAGTCATTTTCCGGCGTATCAATTGGACGGATTTCAATTTTTATTTTGTTTATGAGAAGCTTAATATTTTCTCTGCGGTGGCTAAAAAACCGATTTATTATTAAGTAATTAGAAAATTGGTTAGATTTATTAGAAAAAACCATAAAAATGTAAAAATATAAACGTTTATAATACAATTTTAAAAACAGAAATAAAAAAAAGGAGCTAGAGAAGAGAAGGAGGTAGAGAAGATGTTAAACTTAATAAATAATAACAAAAACAATATTTTGAAATCGGTTTGGTTGACACTTCAGAAGTGACTTTATTTTTAGTTTTTATTTATATAAAATTGGCGCTTTCCGTTCCCCTTAAAAAAATATATCAATGCCCGGTTTTAGGATCATAATACTTCAAAAGGTTATGGTAAGCTGAAAAAATACAAATTTGAATCTAAACTGTGCACCTAACTAGATTCAGATAGAAAGTATCTTTTTAGCTTTTTAAAAAGCAAACTTTAACTGTGTCCCTTGGAAGAGTTTTTTCATTACAGACTACAGACATTTTTACTACTAACTTTCGATCCCAACCGCTGAAAAACAAATGATACAATGATCAAATGTCTACTTGAAATAGTAGATTACCCAACAATACAAAGGACTTGGGCTATTCAAAACTTGTTTTCAACTCGCCCCTTTCACAATTTATCACTACTACACTATAGCTTAAATCGTATTATTAATCCTTCAGAAAAAATTGGAGTCATTTTTTTAGTCCGATTAATGGCCGTCTAAACATTTTACAGACAGTTTTCTTTTAATGTGTAGATCCAATTATTGTTTTTTTTTTTTAATTAACCAGACAATAAATAATAATTATAATTTATAAACTAGTGTTGACGATCCGAAGCACATCGAGAGATGCCTAAGTTCTTTCTAAAAAAACGACAAATTTTTTGTTTATTATATTATTATAATATTATTTATATAAATACCTAAATAAAACAGCATGAACAGGGTCATCTAAGTTTCATGTTTAAATCAAATTGTATTAATTGTTAAAATATTATATTATTATTATAAATGGTATAGGTTCCTAAGTTGTTAAGACGTGGTTGTAAGTTTTTCTTGGTCTGGTTGTGTAGATATAAATACATTCCAAGCTTCGAATGGAAATATTAGTAAACAAAAGAGGAAATATAATTTCTATAATAGTCAATAGATATCTAATATGTATACAATATACATGGAAGATAAGAATAGTTTATTATTTGTCATACTAAAACAAAGTAAGTTTCACGTTAACAAAATGTATTTAATATTTTTTTTATTTAATACATTTAACTAAATCAACAGAATGTGATTAAATCACTTTCAAAAAAAAAAAGCTTCGATGTGAATCTTTAGATGGTAGAAATTTAAAAGCTATAATGTGCTTAAAATTATATTTTGAGTATTAGGGTGGATATGATCAACCCTGATCACACAGCAACCAATAAATTTACTACTGTCAAAGTGTTATTTTCTCTTTTTTGTTTGGCTTTTCCAAAATAAAAAAAAATTATGACTACTATTTGTTGAGAAAATTGTGCATGTTATAGACCTACTCTAGATATACCTTCGTTTTATTTTCAGACCTTAATCCTCAAAACTTCAAATAAAAATAAAGATTTCGCAATTTCTGTGGTAAAGAGTTTTTTTTTTGGTTTGTCATCGTTTATCTAAAGAATAATCTATACAAAGTTGGAACTAATTCGACTATTTTTAAAAAAAATTTTAAAGCGCGCCTTATTTTTAAGTAGTTGAAAAATATGTACATTTTTAGGGTTTTTTCTCTATCTCGAAGTGGTGATATTTTTTTAATTTTTGCCCGATAAAGTATAGCTCTTAGATACGATTTCTGATCAATAGTCTACACGAAGGAAACGGTCTAGACAAAATAATTAAAAAAAAAAAAAAATTATTGTAAAAACAATACTTTCTCGGTTCCGCATTGAAGTAAAAATTGTCTATTTTGATAATATTGATAGATACGTCTTACGGCTCACTTTTAAATTCTATTATTATGTCTCTACACGTACAGAATTTCGGGCTATACCGATGTCGAAGTCCATATCAGAATGGTTTGGCTAATGTATACTTGTATTTTTTGGAAGGAGGGAGGAGAGTACCTCACCTGTCCTGCTACCCTTAGCAGGCGCCGTCGGTGAGCCGATAAAAGCGCAAAATACCATCGATTTTGGGTACCTATGCGATTTTTGGGTGGTCGGTATTTTTTGTACCATTCAAATGCGGACCACGCACAAATATACCATACATTTTTTTTTTTTACACGCTTGTAATCGAGACGTTTCCAAATCAGATAGTTTGACAAGTCTTACCTTATAACGAGCGCGCGTGTAGGAAATTCGCATGAAATAATAAACATATCTAAACGGCGACAAATGGCGGACGTCCAGATTTTGGTCGACCGTTTGACAGGCAAACGTCAAGTGTGGAACGAATATATTATATTATACCTAGGGGGGAAATGGCAAAATATATATTTTATTATAATATAAAAAAAAAACCCCAAAAAACACGATCATAATAGACAGGCGTGTAATAATATATATAAAAAAAAGTACCGAGCACGTTCCCTCGTTGAGATCCTAATCTCCTTGGCTGCGGACCGACGACTACCGTACACACACATCTTTATTAAATATCTTTACACCTGGACGGCACGGGTATGCCTGTACTATAGTAATCCTCCGGTCTTATCGGTTGCGGTTTTTAAACCAATACCCACCGATGGGCATTGTAAAAAAATATAATCCGAGTTTGTTTTTTTTCTTTCATAATCTCAAAAAGTATTCTTCGTACAATACAGCATCAGCGCGCACTACAAGTCTTGCGATACGATTCGACCACAACCAGAATGGAAAAGAAACCCTAACAAAATTCAACAGAACACGTCATTATTATTTTCTTAACAGATTCTGATATTTTGTATCTACCTATGGTGTTTGTGTAAAAACTAAAAAATAGAAACGCCAAACCTCTTTTTTTGCTAGCAACCGAACGCGCACACAAGTTCACATAAGGAGCAAAATAATATTAACAACCAAGTCCAGATAACAAATCCATTAGGTTAGGCCTAGTCCGCCTGTGCTTATTGCACGTCACTGGAATCTGATAACAGAAATTTGAAACATTTAATATACGTTTACCCTTACCTACATCCGATCTATATATGTAACTAATATTGTATGTATAGTATAGTAGTACCTACGAGTAGTTAAACTGAACTATAGTAGGTAGTCGCAACTTAAACGGCAATCATAATAAGAACATCTAACACCCTCTAAATCGCAAGTACTTAAATCTCGACTATTGCAAACGGCAAACAACTGTGTTCAGACTTGGGTAATAAGTAACTAAGGTTACCAATCGTTTATACAATAGACAATACAGCGGACTTCATTATGGTTAATTCTCGACTGCCTGGTTAAACAGTAATAAACTTATAATTGTAGATTTATTACAATTTTAAAATTCTACACTGGTTGTAATCTACAAATTGAAAATATTTACTACAGACTACAGACAATATTTTCTAAAATAAAAAAATTTATTAATTTTTTAGGTTATCTACTAAAAAAAAAATGGATAGAATAACAAAATATCAAGTCTTACCTGTTATGCTTAACACAAGTACACCGGTAAATAATCAGATCCCTGGTGTCTTGTCTTTAACAGCATCCGTCTTTATAATACATATACATTTAATCATAGGTAGATATTGTATTAAGAGTTAGGTAAGTAACTGTTCATTGCGTCATAGGTAGCATCCGTACGATAAACTATAACATACCTTTTTTTTAAGAGGTCACTAGGCCGTAATTTCAGAAGTAAAACTAGGTATCTTTTACCAAACTTTTTTTTTTGTACCTAGTAATAGTAGTTTTGACATGAGATTTTGACAAACATTGGCTAAACCAAACCCCTAAATAAATAGGACGTATGAACGGAAAAAATACATATTTGGACCAACTAAAATTATATTTAATAAAACACAATAAACATATAGAGTTGGCCGAACTAAATAAATAGCTGCTTTTACTAAATTAAATAAGTTATATTTTTTTCACATAAAAAATCCTTTTACAACACAATGAAGTAATCATGATATAGGACCATCCTAAGTAGTCAACAATTTTTTAGGCTTTCTGATCTGAAACGTCAAAAAACAGACCGCTTTCATTCCCCTTAAATAGTACTTATTCTGAAAACTCAAGTACTCAAGTAACTCAAGTAGAATGAACTCGAGTCGATTTTCAGTTCGGTGGCGTTTAGTTACTATTGCAATTATCTGAATTTTAAATTTAAAATTCACAGAAATTAAATGCATACTATAATGTGTTACAGTACTAAAGTATTAGAAGGTACAGCAAATGATTGTTTCATTGCTATTTATTACTATGTAGATTACCGTTAGTTGTTTTCTAAAAAAAATAAATTCGAAACGTCGTGAATTGACAACAACCATAAAAGTGTCTTCTTAGGCGTGTTGGACAGCTGTATAAATATACATTTGTTTTAAAAGTGTATGTAATTCATACGCATACCGAATAACTGTATACAGTATAAAAAGAAGGGTCGGAAAGTGAGTAC